TGGCGGTAAGAGATTTGCGGACAATGAAGAAGTAATCGAAGCTGTAAATGGTTATTTTGAGGAGCTTGACGAATCAGTCTATAGAGATGGCATTAATAGACTGGAACACCGCTATGAGAAATGTATCAGCCTTGGAGGAGATTATGTTGAGAAATAAAAAAAAAAAATTTTTAAAAACCTTGTTTTTCTTGGTCAGGCCGGAAACTTATCAATCCACCCTCGTATACGAAGCAATCTGTCAAGTACTAATCGAAGTTAGCAGAAGTAGATATCGAACCCCTATTTAAAATCGAGATCTTTATCTGTTGGCTCGATTGTCATCGAGCTTCAGAAAATAGGAATCATGCAGAAAGTTTCATTTAGGGAAGGGTAGGTAGCGCTAGGCTTGTCAATTTTCCGCTGACGTCACTTAGAGCCATTCGTGCTCGAAGGGTGCGCCTGCTATGTCCGTATCTTAAGGCCATTAAAGAACTACTAAAAACAATAAAAATTGCTCTGTGCAGTACTTTAATCTTATATAACTTTTTACAGGAAAGTTCTTCATTTATATATATATATATGTATAGTATCCAGAAAATATGTGAAGACGGGCTTCACCTACTTCACCTGAAAATCCGCCACTGTTTTTTCCGTGATGTAATACAGTGCCATGCGTGATTTTTTCAACCATGTGTCCGTCTGGACTTGTTTGTTTGTATGACCAATCTGGCGATATGAACACTTCCAAAATACGAGGGTGGATTGATAAGTTTCCGGCCTGACCAAGAAAAACAAGGTTTTTAAAAATTTTTTTTTTTTATTTCTCAACATAATCTCCTCCAAGGCTGATACATTTCTCATAGCGGTGTTCCAGTCTATTAATGCCATCTCTATAGACTGATTCGTCAAGCTCCTCAAAATAACCATTTACAGCTTCGATTACTTCTTCATTGTCCGCAAATCTCTTACCGCCAAGCCATTTTTTGAGATTAGGGAACAGAAAATAGTCACTCGGGGCTAGGTCTGGAGAGTAAGGAGGGTGCGGCATCAATTCAAACTTTAGATCGTTGATTTTAGCCGTCGCAACGATTGACGTGTGCGCTGGTGCGTTATCGTGATGAAACAAGATTTTTTTCTTCGCCAGATGAGGTCGTTTAATTTTCACCTCGTGGCTCAAACGTTGCAATAAGTCTGCGTAGTATTGACCAGTGATAGTATTACCCTTTGCAAGGTAATCAATGTATATAATACCTCTTGCATCCCAAAAAACAGTAGCCATAACCTTGTTCGCCGAAAAAATTGTTTTTGCCTTCTTTGGAGTTGGTTCCCCTGGTCCAATCCACTGTTTAGACTGTTCTTTGGTTTCAGGAGTGTAGTGGTGGACCCACGTTTCGTCAACGGTTACGAATCGACGCAAAAATTCGCTTGGATTACGCTTATACAATGACAAATTTGCGGTAGAAATGTTTTTTCGAATCAATTTTTGGTCGACTGTTAGCAAACGCGGCACCCATCTTGCACAGAGCTTTTCCATATGCAAATGTTGGTGCAAAATATGTTGCACACGTTCATATGACATCTTACAGGTCTCAGCTATCTCACGCACTTTCAATCTGCGGTCTCCCAGCACTATTTGATGAATTTTTTCGATCATATCTGGAGTTGTGACCTCAACGGGGCGTCCTGAGCGAGGCCCATCAGAGGTGCTCACACGACCCTTTTTAAACTCGGAAACCCACTGCTTAACGGTTGAATATGACGGGGAGGATGTCCCCAGTGTTGAGTCCATCTCTTTTTTAATTTCCTTCGGCGTTAACCCCTTCAAATAAAAGTATTTGATGACAGCACGATTTTCCTGCTTTTCCATTTTTACGAAAACCACAGAGGCGTCTTGTTCAGCGTGCTGTCAAACCTACACTAGCAAGGAGATCGGGCTGAAACTATAGCTACAAGCTATCCAAGGATGGTACTATAGAATGTCACCTCAAGGTAGGCCTAGTGGCGTCATCTCTTGGTTAGGCCGGAAACTTATCAATCCACCCTCGTATGATAACTTCTTTATCAATGTCAATTTTTGAATGAGATTAGGACCACCAGCTGCAATTTTAAACGGGTTCCCAGCTAATATATATTACTTTGACTGCCGAATGAGCAATCAGTAAAGTTTCTTCCTGAAGACACTAAAGTCACCGGTAAACAAATTGTTGCTCGCATACTTTGAGACGACTATTTTCTGAAACGGTTTCATTAAGTTCTCGAAGTTTTTCTTTTTTAATAATTATTTCTCAAGTAAGTAAATAATTTTTAAGGGATTTTATTTTTTACCATTTAATTTAATTTTTAATAATTAATTAAATTTCTTTCTCAATTAAGTAAATTTTGAATGTTTCCACTACTATTTTAGTAAATATGTGTTAATTTACCCTGGATGAAAAATTTTAATAATATTTTCATTTTAATTGCAAAATGAAAAGTACTGTATAAGCCTGTATATACTAAGTGGTTGTTGCAGAGTCCCAATTATTGTTTCAAAAAGTTCGTGAATATCAACTAACTCACCATTTTTAAAGCCGTTCGAAAGACCTTTCAAAAATATTTTCCACACATTTACATAATTAAATAGCAAATAGTTTACGTTAACCCTTAGAGGTAAAGGTTTATTTCAAAATAACTTCAATATCTAATACTACGAAATATTATCCTTAAAATTCATTTCTGAATAATGAGCAACAGCAACAATTTTTCCCTCATTAATTTGAGGTTGTTTGTAGTGGGTGAAAATTCAGAAATGAAGTCACTTCTAAATGTCTAAATGTATGTTTCATATTCAGAGTATATTCTAATACTACTTAATAGCTAACCTTCTAAAAAAAAGAATTGCTGATAGAAAAAAAATCTCCATTTGTTGCAGGACAATGAAGGTCGCAATTATAGGAGCAGGACCGGGAGGTTTAGTATCTGCGAAATACTGTGTTGCAGAGGGGTATTCAGTGGACATTTTTGAACAAAACGGTAGTATAGGAGGTGTCTGGGTTTACAGCGATTATGTGGATTTTGATGAAGATGGATTCCCACTACAAGCAGCGATGTACAAAGGACTTAGGTATGTTGAATAACGTTAGTTGGAATCATTTAAAGAAAATCCCTTAGTTTTTTTCAATCAAAATTTAATTTCGAAGAAGTAGATACATTTACGATATAAAAAGATTGGATTTAGGGGTTGATTTTCTATAATGTGTCTACGTAGTTATAGTATTGCTATTTTGTGATATCAGCTATCAAATGATGTATATGTATTTTATATGTTAGACAATGTTGTAGATCATATACGTGGTAGATGTGTAAACTAGATTAATAAGGACAGCTGTAAGTTTTTGGAGTACTAATGAGACCTAATAAAATTGGAACCGCGATCCGTGCTCGGTAATATTGATTTACTATCCAAGAACTTATACTGTTGTTATTCATTTGGTTTACGGACCCATCACGTTAATAAAAAGCTTTGTCTAATATGAAATACTTCTGTTAGCATCAGGTAGTCATAAGTAGATTAAAATAATTCGAAGTGGTTTGTATTCTGTCGAAACTGCCAGACGCGGATCGCGATGTAGATCTTTTTGGACCTCATCAGCGCGTCGCAGACAACTCCGACAGAACACAGACCAACCTTTACCTGCTGTCTTAACAGCGCGTTTTAGAAAATATCACAAATGGCGCAGTAAACTCCATCTGTAGTACGATGCTACATTTTAGGATTACGTATGCTTCAACAAGGTCCATTTAAATATATGGATATCTACTTGCTGAAACGAATCCCGTGCAAGGCACGTTACCATAATCGAATAAAATAATTTGAAGTGGTCTGTATTCTGCCAGACGCCGATCGCGATTTCGATCTTTTTGGATCTCATCAGCGCGTCGCAGGCAGCTCCGACAGTCATACAGACTACTTCGAATTATTTTATTCGATTATGGTAACCTGCCTACCACATTGAGGTTAGCTACGCCGGGATTCGTTTCAGCAATTAGATATCCATATATTTAAATGGACCTTGTTGGAGCATACGTAATCCTAAAATGTAGCATCGTACTACAGATGGCGTTTACCGCGCCATTTGTAGTATTTTCTCATAAGTAGATATTTTATCAAATTCTTTCGATTCATTGGTGATTTATTAAGACTGTCTATGCCGATGAGAGATTTTTTTAGAATAAGATCGAAATCGCGATGCAAGTTTGGTAGTTGCAAATAGTAATATTAAACCTATTAACGGGATACGTAGATATAGATATTAAAAATAAAATTCTAGTGCCAATGCAATTTTCTTCTCGACAGTATTGTCAATACATGACTTGAAACTGTTACCGTTTAATTTTAATAAGAGTGCACTACAATATTGTTCTCATAACTCATATCTCTACACGTGTATACATATAAGAGGTATCAGACATAAATATGATCTTGTATCTATAGCAATTGTTGTTAATTAAAAGAATAAAATTTATCTAAAATAAAATACAAACTCAATAGAGCTTTAAATCGTTTGTTTAAAAAATTCTTACAGGCGCTTTAAGTGGCAGATTTTTATTTATAACTTTTATTGTGTATTACGTGTTTGATGAAATTTTATTGTAAATAAACGTACGTGCACGGAAAAATTAGGTAACTAAGTCGAAGGATAAAAAATCCTAAATAGGACATTAGTTTATCTATGTGAATGATGCTGTTTACATTAATTTTTTTTATATTTACATGAGTTGATTAGGTATTAATAACGTTTAATATGTGATAAGTTATTGACATAAGATAAAGATAAAGGAAAAAGATTTTTAATTTGTATTTTTTCGTAATTCTTTAATCAAATTCATCAGGAAAATTGGAATCATAGCATGACAAGTTTTCAGGTCGTATAAAAGCATAAAATTTGTATTAAGGCTTACTAAAGTCTTCAAATATTGATAAGGCTTGTTATGGAGTAGTAAAACTTTGGAAAATATTTTATTATAAAATTTGATCAATTNTTCATTATTATTTTGTTCAGTAACTTATGCAGAAATCCATCATCTGCAGCAATTGTTTGTTAATAAGCCCCGAGGGCCAAGACCGAGCCAGCTCATCGTACCAACATGAATATGTACTCGTTTTAAATTACTCGAAAAATTGCATATTGGTGTTAGTAGCCCATTGAGATTTTAATGGCGCTAAGTCTTTTCGGTAAAAAATAATTTTGTTTAAACTCCAACTGAACTAAAAATGTTTCTAAAAAGATTCAGTCAGCAAATTGAGACCCCATTTTTGATAATTTTCGCAGTGGAAGCTTCTGGTACTATAAACATTAATTCAGAGTCTTGTTTTCTAAAATTCTGTTTGAAATCGTTCGTTGATGGTGATTACGGGCCGGTTTTGGTCTACACCACAAATTTAATAACAATAAAAATTATTTTTTAAGGACCAACGTGCCAAAAGAACTTATGGAATACTCAGATTTTCCATACCCTAAAGAAATCCAGGCATCTTATTTACCCGCAGAAGAAGTGCTACGTTACTTTAACAATTATGCAGACAAACATAAACTTCGTTCACTTGTAAAAGTAAGTAATTCGAATAAATGAAATATTTCAAAAGTATGCCCCATCAGCACGCTATGTATAAGCAGCATCGATAGCACACAGACCCATTTTATCTGCTGCCATTGAACTGTGTTCAGAGAATAAGTACAGACAGGGTGGTGAACGCCATCTACAGTATTTATACGTAGGCTGGTTGTTGCTCAAAGCTGTCTATAGTGTGCTGATGGGATCAAAAGTTTACTAATTAATAAAGTACACTTTATGTTTATTGTTCTTTAATAAGCTCAGAGGTAATACGTTTTCTATCCTCTTTTTAGTTGCGTACAAGGGTTACAGAGGTTTCACCCTTGGAAGGAGAAAGATGGTTTGTGAAAGCGTTGAATTTAGAAGATAACTCAGTATTATGCGGGACATACGATGCCATAATAATTGCCAACGGGCATCATGCTGAAAAAATAATTCCAAATATTCCTGGAAAGGAAACGTTTACGGGAACGCAGTTGCATAGCAAGGACTTCAGAAAGGCGAAAATATTCCAGGATAAAAAATGTTTGGTTGTTGGAATGGGTCTTTCTGGGCAAGACGTTAGCAAACTGCTTTTAGCCGTCACAGATAAGGTTGGTAAATAATAATTTGATGATGATGTTTAGTGTTTATGGAATATATATAGAAAAAATAGCAGTTCGGAAGTAGGGTTTGAGTAGGTCGTAGGTACATGTATATATTATACAAGCTTTTGGCCGCGGCTTTGTTCGCGTGGATGTCCTAAACACATGTCGAACTTTTTATGTTAAACATAATTTCTCTATCCTTCGGGAACAGAATGTTTTTTCTGGATAAAAGGTACCCTATGTTCTTTTATGTATTCCTGACGATATTTGTACAAAATTTCATAATGATCGATTGAATAGTTAAGACGTGAAATTGTAATAAACACACAAAAAGCTCTCATTCGTATTTATAATATTAGTCATATCGCGAGTATCATGTATACACTAGTGGCGACTTGACAACCAAGCTAATATCAAAGTGACATCATCTTTTATAAAATTCTAGTTGGTATAGGTAAATTCGGTTCGGTTACTTTAGGACAGTTTTTAAAGAAGCAGGTGATACTTTCAGTTCACAAAATAAAATATTTTCAATTGAAACTATTTCTTCAAGATACTATTACAAAACGGAGAACTATCTTAATAGAAAATATTTATTTCAGGTTTTTGCGAGTTACAAAATGGACAATAAGATTGCTAATTTGCCGCAAAATCTCATTGAAAAGCCATGCGTTTCTAGGATAGAAGGAAGTCAGGTTTTCTTTGAAGATGGTACTGCCGAAGAGATGGACGTTATCATTTATTGCACAGGTGGGTGAAAATTAACAAACACTCATCAATCCAAGACAAGAATTAAGAAATGTTTATCCGAAGCTAAATCTTCATATTTTTGTTTCAGGCTACAAGTATTGTTTTCCGTTTTTGACGAACGACTGTGGAATTGTTGTGGACAGCAGCAAATGGGTTCGACCATTGTATAAAGAAATTGTCAATATAGAACATCCCACAATGTGCTTCATTGGACTCCAGTTTAATCTTCCAGTAATTGCGATGTTCGACTTGCAGGTATGAAAATTTCTTTTATAAGTACACTCCTTCTTAGTCAAAGTAAGAAAGAGGAGACTGTGATAAATATTAATTAAAAATTAAAAGGAAGACTCAATAGATTTACCAAAATTAATTTTACATTGTAATCTTTGTTTTAGGCTCGCTTCTTCGTTTCCACGTTGAACGGTCATTTTCCTCTTCCGTCGAAGTCGGCGATGTACGAAGATTACGAAAAACAAATAGCAAACAAACGAAAACTTGGTATTCCGTTGAAACACACGCATGGGATGATGCTTAAAGAATTACGGAAAGGATACTACGAAGATGTTGCTACAACTGCTAATATAGCCAGAATACCGCCGGTTATTATAAACATGTTCGAAAAAATCCTCGAAGATAGAAATAAAGGCGAATATAGGCACATTGTCTACAAAATAGTCAGTGACAGCAAATTTAGAATGGTCCTGAACGGAGAGAAAGATTTCAAACCGATTGTCAACGACAATAAATTGAGCAATTCGAATATCATCAATGGACGTCATCTATAAAGGTTTAAGGTTCTGTTATTGTTTTATTTCATTATTATTTTGTTCAGTAACTTATGCAGAAATCCATCATCTGCAGCAATTGTTTGTTAATAAGCCCCGAGGGCCAAGACCGAGCCAGCTCATCGTACCAACATGAATATGTACTCGTTTTAAATTACTCGAAAAATTGCATATTGGTGTTAGTAGCCCATTGAGATTTTAATGGCGCTAAGTCTTTTCGGTAAAAAATAATTTTGTTTAAACTCCAACTGAACTAAAAATGTTTCTAAAAAGATTCAGTCAGCAAATTGAGACCCCATTTTTGATAATTTTCGCAGTGGAAGCTTCTGGTACTATAAACATTAATTCAGAGTCTTGTTTTCTAAAATTCTGTTTGAAATCGTTCGTTGATGGTGATTACGGGCCGGTTTTGACCTAGGACTGCAGTGTAAAAGAGTCTATTTACTAAAAAAATTGTTATTTTTTAAATTATTTAAATACCTAAACTTTATTATTATTTATTTAGAAAGAAGCAGGGTTTTTTTGGAATTTGTTATTACATATGTTAATATAAAATTTTCATTTTGTTAAATTTGTAGTATAATTTGAAACAAAAGATAAAAAGTGATATGTTGAGTTGTCCGTTGGAGATACGTACTTATACAGATTTGTTGTACTTGTTGATTTGTTTTTAGTGACTTATAGTGTTTAAGCTAGAATTATTTTTGTAAAATATTGTATGTGCATTTTATACGTGGAGAAAACCGGTTTAGTTTAGCGAGGTAAAGAATGTATGTATGAGTTACATTTGAATTATTATTGTATATACAAATATCTATTAACAAATAAATTATATAAAAAAAACTGAGAAGCGTTTGATATATGTTGTTAACAGACACTGATAAAGATATTATGGATTAAAGAGAATAGAAATGTGAAGATAATGCAGTAGATAAAGTTGAAGTCAATAAGAAAAAGGAGATATAGAAGAGAAGAATAGTTAAACATATTAGAATCAGAAACAGGAGTAATGAGAGGCAGAGGGAGGCCTAAATTAGGCTACTATTGGCAGTTAGAGGTGTGAGAAGTTCTAGATATTAAAGGATATGCGTGATCCGATTCTGTAGCAATGCTATTTCCGCTTTCAATACTGAAATATGTTGAAAACTATAATTTTTATGATTAGACTTATTACAATGACTTCTGTACAGTCTGGAAAGTTAAAAATATAATCATTTAGTAATTTTTATGCATTAGCTGTAGACACATTTTATCTGTCTTTTTTTTATTTTTTAGTGATGATTTAAAAGCGTGTGTTAGTTCTGCATGGACAAATTCTGTCATATGTCTCGTCACGCATTCAACAAGAACAGCGACTTATTCTCTTCGACCAATCTGATTCCATCGTCAAAATTACATCCTATGCCTTTTTTAATCCCCGCCTTGTTCAAATTTAATAATAAATTTTCAAAATTACAGTTAATTTGGTCAACTTTAAATAAGATATTCAGACAGTACAGGTTTCCATTGTCTAAATTGGTTTTTGATTCTACCAGACGTTTTATTGCTGTGGATGACATCTTCAGTGGCCTGTTGTTGAATGCGGGGTCGAAGTATTAGTGATGATAAACTACTGTACGTCGAAAACTAACCATCAATCAAAATTTTCAACGTTCTTGACCACATAACTAGCAATAAACAAAACATAGATACGCTTTATATGTGTGTAAAAAAGTTGAGACAAAAAAAAAATAAGTTTGAGTATTCTATTAGCAGTTCAATTAAGAAGTAGAAGCAATAATTATGATGCACGGATTGAAAACATTAATTAAATATAAGTTTGAGAGAAGCGAGCTTAAGGAACAAGTTGGTAACTACAACTAATTTATTGGCAAACTCAGAAGCTTGCAGCTCGAGTCTGACTGGAACAACTTATCAACCTGTCATAAACAATTATTACCATTCTAAACGAATTCTTTATTAAACGGCGAACTTGAAGTGTTACCTGACTGCAACTGCCACATAAGCTTCGTCTACCAAATTTAACGCAAAACAAGTCTGTAATTTATTTTGATGTGAAGAGAAGGATAAGGATACCTACCAAGGAACTAATTACTTCAAGGAACTAATCGGTACACATGTATTTTAATAATTCGTGAAAGAAAAGTAAATTAAGGTCCAAAAATACAAGACTTTTACACAAATAGAAATAAAAAAAAAATATGACGATCTTTTACGACCACTAAGGAAGCAGAAATTTATCCTAATTATATAAATGTGAATATGAGTTTGTATGTTTGTTTACTTAATTGCTATGCTTTTCCGCCTTAACCACTCAATCGATTATTATTGCCAAGATATAGAAAAGGACACAGTGTACCATATACCAGAAAAAAACAGAGATGTAACTTATCTAAGGTATAAGAATTCGAAATACAGATACAAGATATAAAATACGTATTTTCATCTTGTAACTATAAAACTTTTTTAAAATTCATTTTGTATCTTGTATTTAAATGCCTTTTGTTTGGTATCTTAGTATTTTGTAGATACTATGGTTGCTAAAATACTTCTAGTAATAGATAACTGATTCTATGGTGACAGACATCTTAGGTGACATTAATTTTAAATGTCAATATCGTCGTAGATAAAACTGAACGTAGTTGCCATTGAATCTTTAGTCTGGGGTCAAATTGATAGAAAACTGTTAGCACCGCTGACTTAGAAACTTTGCAATACTTAATAAAGATAGCAACCTAAAGATTATCCTCATCTTCACCATAAGGTCGTCAGTCCTAAGACTGGTTGGACACGAACCTCCATTCTTTCCTATCCTGGGCTAAATTTCGCATTTCCCTAAAACTAGAACAACCCACATCCTTAACTATTTGTGAACAGTAATCTAACCTAGGTCTACCTATACCCCTCATAACTCCTGTTTCTACCTCTATTATGTTTCTGACTAGACCTTCATGCCTGAGAAGGTGTCCTACCAATCTATCTCGCCTATTTTTGTTGACTTCCATAGAGTCCTTTGTTCTCCTATTCTTTCTAATATCTCTTCATTTCTAACCTTTTCTACCCACGTTATTCTCATCATTCGTCTATAACACCACAATAAAAAAAAAATACACCTGTTTGCCATGTTATGCCCCTGTGGCGGCATGATCATGAGGTCTCATCGAAGAAAAATGAGCGATAAAGTATTTGAAGAACTGGTTTTACTTAAGTCTCAATTAAAACCTTAAAAATATAATATTATGTTGTGTCACGTTTGCGCGATCAATGCCATTTATATGTAAAAGAATAAACTTTCATTAA